CAGTCCCACACCCCTCGACACACACCCCCTGCTTCAAACCCTAGCTCCACTCCCACGGTACCCCCCTTAAACCCCAAACCCTAGGCTCCCACACACCACCCCCCTCAGCGGCAGCTGTAGCAGAGGGAGACGAGGGAGGAGGAGGAGCAGGGGGAGTAACTCACAACCGACACCCCCATAGCCGCCACCCCCACACTCCTCACCCCCAAACCCTAAAACGGGCGGAACGGGGGAAGGAGCGCGGGGGACGGCGAGGGGGACGGTGCGCGACCCCCAGGACGCCACCACGGGGCAGCGAGGGGCCGCGCGCGGCTCCTTAGGGCGCCGCGAAGGGGCAGCGGGGGGTCGCGCGCGGCTCCCCAGGGCGGCGCGACGGGAAATCGGGGGCCGCGGGCGACGGGAACGGGGGGCCGCGGGCGACGGGAACGGGGGGCCGCGAGTGACGGGAACGGGGGGCCGCGGGCGACGGGAACGGGGGGCCGCGGGCGACGGGAACGGGGGGCCGCGGGCGACGGGAACGGGGGGCCGCGGGCGACGGGAATGGGGGGGCCGCGGGCGACAGGAACGGGGGGCCACGGGCGACGGGAAATCGGGGGCGCGCGGGGGTCCCCCACGGTAGGAAACCGCCGCGCGCCTCGGGGCGCACGGCGGACAGGAAACCGCCGCGCGTCCGGGGCGCACGGCGGGGAGAAAACCGCCGCACGCCCCGAGCGCGCGGCGGGATGAAAAATCCGTCGCACGCCACGGGGCGTGCGACACAAACAGTAGTAGGAGCAGCGGAAGACTGAGGTGGTGGGGCCCACCCACAGGATCGACCCAACTGGATCGTCCTGCTCTGATAGCATGTCGTGATAGTTAGCACGATGAGGAGCCATAGCTAGGGTTGACCTAGCTAGGCAAGAGAGAATGAAGCAAAGGAGGGGTTTGCACTAGCAACAATGGTGGTACAAATAGCTAACCCTAGAAGGGTTGTACTCGCTATAGAGCACCCCACTGCAGGCTAGAGCATAATATTCTGACAGGAGCTGCTCGACGGGCTTCATCGAGCTGCAGGATGTCACTGCGGGGTTTCGATCGACCAGAGGTGGTCGACAGGCGCAGCTGACTGGGCTGGGCGACGGGTGGGCCGCCGACCAGGAGTGCCAGTTCGACGGGGAGGTCGGCAGAGCCCTCGGTCGACCTGACAAGTGAGTCGACGAGGGGAGCTCGGCGACAACGGTTGATAGTGCTGGTCGACGGAAGGGGCCCGTCGACCAGGGAGATGCTCGACGGGAGCTGTGGTCGACCGGAGTACTTGGTGCTCGACCAAAGGCACCTCGTGGTCGACTGAAGCACCTGGTGGTCGACCAGAGCACCTGGTGGTCGACTAGAGGCACATCGTGGTTGACCGGGGACCTGGTGGTCGACCGGAAGCACCTGGTGGTGTCCAGGTCGACCGGGTAACCTGCTCGGCGAGTTCTGTGGAGGCACGCGAACGCGGTCGCGATGACGAAGGCAACTTTGGGCTAGTATTCGAAGCCGATGTGGCTCGTCAGGCACAGATAGCAGTCGAAGGATGAACAACAATGCAAGTCGGGCCAATCGTCTGAGCGCATCTGCCTACACGCACACTGCTGTCTTCTATAGGTGCAACGCTGGACAGCCGCACAGCTGCAGCGTTGGCACGCCGTCGACCTGCTGTGTTGGCAGGTCGCCTTTCTGCAGTGCTGGCGCGGCTCCTCTACGCAACGCTGGCAGGCGGTCGACCATGCACTGTTGGCGGTCGACCAGGCTAGCTGCAGAGTTTTTAGAAGCCTGATGTAGTTCATTTCTATCATTGCTTGTCTAATCATTATGAATCCCAACTTTGCCTAGTGAAACTCTTGCCGATTTCTCCCGTGAATGTGCAAGCACTAAGGAACTAAGCAAAGCTACGATCACTCCTAGTAGTTCGTGCCAACCCCCGTAGTCTAGCTCACTACCGTTGTAGAGTGACTCTCCTTATAAGGAAATCTCCTTTTTTCTTGCTTCATGCCCCTGCTTACCACGTACATGACTGTTCGCGCCCACGGTATCAAACAGTGCACCACCGGTGACACTCGCCTCGATCACTATTCCCACCACTGTTCACGCTGCTACCCAACCATACGGTTCGGTTGATAACCCACACTCCGGACCTCCGCCTCGGCATTTGACATTTTACGCCGTCCGAGACTGGGGTCCTGCTACGGACAATCGCCCTCGGAGACTGATCGAGCACGCCACTGTACACGCCGTTGTGTCAAGCACAGCTGCAGCGCCATTTAAGAGGTGCTGCTTCGTTCGCAACAGGCCGGGCCATTGCAATAGCGAAGAGGAGCTAAGGCACCGTGGAGCAGAGCAAGGGTGAGAGTATGAGAGGAGGGGAAACGCCAACAGTTAGTAGAGTAAGGAGGGTAAAGTGACAGATTGCCCAATACCGATTTACGAAAAAAATACAAGGGGTAGCAGTGAAGATTTATTCTAATAATAATAATACCTCAATGACACGGAAGAGCATTATTATTGTTATTATTATTATTATTATTATTATTATTATTATTATTATTATTATTATTATTATTATTATTATTATTATTATTATTATTATTATTATTATTATTATTATTATCTTCACGGAGGAGCAAGTCAGAGTTTAGTTAATACCGCAATGGCACGGAAGCTGCAACTGACACTTAGCCGCTATTTACCGGAGATAGATGCACGCTTAGTTGACGGCACGCCATTGGCCATACGGGAGAAAGTGGAGTGAGTGCAAGTTCGCTGCGGGGGGAATTTCGGGTTCACACAGGAAATGCTCGCGACAACGTTGGATGGACAAGACATTTTACCGGAACGTGATTGGTTGCGACGCTACAACTTGCGAATCGACTGGACGACAGGTAGCCGCACTGTGCGAAGCGGCAGTAACTGGGTCGCACTACCTCACTGGCAGTCGCCTGAGTCTTCAAAGGTCCACGTCAAGGCCATTTCGATGAAACGGGCCGTCGCCGCTGGAGCTGACGTATATGCAGTAGACATCAAAGTAGGAGGGGAGGCCGAGGAGCCGAGCGATTTTCAGAAACTACTGGCAGCCATACAACCCGAACTAGAGAAGCTTCTGTAACGGTACTCATGGAACTTTCCATACGACCTACTGGAGGGACTGCCACCTCAACGAGCGCACGACAACCGCATAAATTTAGACCTAGAGCACAATCAACCTTACAGCGACAATTCAGATAGAGACAGCATGAACTCGATAAACTGAGAAAGCAGCTACACTACCAACTAGAGAAAAAATTCATCCGACCGAGGTCATCACCGTTCGCCGAACCAATACCGTTTACACCGAAAAAAGACGGGGGTTTTCGCATGTGAATCAACTACCGTGCACTGAACAGGTAACAGTTAAGTCGCGATATCCCATTTCCCGCGCCAATGAACTGACAAAACAACTGTGAACAGCCCATGTATTTTCAAAGATTGGCTTACGGGGAGATTACCACCGAATTAGGGTCGAACCACCGGACTGTGTTACAGCGGCTTTTAGGACTAGGTACGGGTCATACGAGTACACCGTAATGCCTTACAGGCTGACAAATGCCCCGGTGATGTTCCGGATGACCATTAACGAGGCTTTTTTGCAGCTTTTAGATAAATGTGTAATATTTTACCTCCTGCCACGTTCTCCCCAATGGTTACTACTGCGGTTTAAGAAAGCCGGTGAATGCCGGTCTCGCGGCAGTAAATTTTGATAGTGCTGTGGGTATGGGTTCCCCCAAAATGTTTTTGACACTAGTTGGGACGCACTTTGTCTTGTTCCTCTCCATTTTTACCCAACTCATGGGTTTTAGAGGCAAGGGAGGGAGGGAAGGAGCATGCCCTTTTCCTTCAGCTTGGCTCAGCTGGTCATTGTTGCCTGATGAGAGATCAAAGTTTCACTAGTGTACACTGAACTGAACGTTCCTGGCGTGGCGTAACTAAAATGGTAAAACACACAGATGACACGTCCACCTTATAAGATTACATCACCTGATGTATTCCTTCCCACTGTACAGCCCCATACAGGATGTCACTGCAAAACAGAAGGCTTGTTCTCTCGATGCCTGCTCCAACCAAACTGTAACTGTCACGCCCTGCTTTCGAGCCAATGACAAAAGGTTGTCCACCTTGCTGCTCTTCCCCCATGAGTGAGGTGAGGACCCGTGGGACCTCACATTCGTGTTTGGCTTGTTCTCTTGATGCCTGCTCCAACCAAACTGTAACTGTCACGCCCTGCTTTCGAGCCAATGACAAAAGGTTGTCCACCTTGCTGCTCTTCCCCCATGAGTGAGGTGAGGACCCGTGGGACCTCACTTTCGTGTTTGGCTTGTTCTCTTGATGCCTGCTCCAACCAAACTGTAACTGTCACGCCCTGCTTTCGAGCCAATGACAAAAGGTTGTCCACCTTGCTGCTCTTCCCCCATGAGTGAGGCGAGGACCCGTGGGACCTCACATTCGTGTTTGGCTTGTTCTCTTGATGCCTGCTCCAAACTGTAACTGGCACATCCTTTCTAGCCTTTGGATGCCCTGCACTGCAGCAGGTATTCCACCAAGCTACCGTATTAGACTCATCACATGAGCAGTCAGCAGTTGTCCCCATAGGCCACGAATCTGTAGCGCTGCTCGTAGTCTGCGCTGAACTCGAGCTCACGTTTTCTTTTCTTACTGAAAGGTCTTTCAAAATGGACAAAGAACCACCGCGGGAAGCACACCAAGTCAAGTCACCCTCTACTTGATTCATCATGTCAGCAGTTGTCCCCATAGGCCAGGAATCTGTAGCGCTGCTCGTAGTCTGCACTGAATTCAAGCTCGGCAAAGAACCACCGCGGGAAGCACACCAAGTCACCCGCTTCAAACTCCATGCTCTCCTCACACTCCTGCCATGCACCCATGCGTGGGTGATAAAAGAGTATTTTTGAGACATTAGAGAAACTCCATGCTCTCCTCACACTCCTGCCATGGACCCATGCGTGGGTGGAGCATGGACGGCAGCGCAAGGAATAGAAAGGGCAGAGGATAAAAGCTTGTTGTACACTCGAACTTCAATTTTCTCTCTGTTCCCCTGGCCGGGACGCATTGACGGGTATTGAGTAGAGTGGGCAAGGGCCAAAGCTTGTGGACAGACGGTGCAGCTCGAACAGCAACAACACATCAGAGGCAGCAACAACACATCAGAGGCAGCAACAACACATCAGAGGCAGCAACAACACATCAGAGGCAGCAACAACACATCAGAGGCAGCAACAACACATCAGAGGCAGCAACAACACATCAGAGGCAGCAACAACACATCAGAGGCAGCAACAACACATCAGAGGCAGCAACAACACATCAGAGGCAGCAACAACACATCAGAGGCAGCAACAACACATCAGAGGCAGCAACAACACATCAGAGGCAGCAACAACACATCAGAGGCAGCAACAACACATCAGAGGCAGCAACAACACATCAGAGGCAGCAACAACACATCAGAGGCAGCAACAACACATCAGAGGCAGCAACAACACATCAGAGGCAGCAACAACACATCAGAGGCAGCAACAACACATCAGAGGCAGCAACAACACATCAGAGGCAGCAACAACACATCAGAGGCAGCAACAACACATCAGAGGCAGCAACAACACATCAGAGGCAGCAACAACACATCAGAGGCAGCAACAACACATCAGAGGCAGCAACAACACATCAGAGGCAGCAACAACACATCAGAGGCAGCAACAACACATCAGAGGCAGCAACAACACATCAGAGGCAGCAACAACACATCAGAGGCAGCAACAACACATCAGAGGCAGCAACAACACATCAGAGGCAGCAACAACACATCAGAGGCAGCAACAACACATCAGAGGCAGCAACAACACATCAGAGGCAGCAACAACACATCAGAGGCAGCAACAACACATCAGAGGCAGCAACAACACATCAGAGGCAGCAACAACACATCAGAGGCAGCAACAACACATCAGAGGCAGCAACAACACATCAGAGGCAGCAACAACACATCAGAGGCAGCAACAACACATCAGAGGCAGCAACAACACATCAGAGGCAGCAACAACACATCAGAGGCAGCAACAACACATCAGAGGCAGCAACAACACATCAGAGGCAGCAACAACACATCAGAGGCAGCAACAACACATCAGAGGCAGCAACAACACATCAGAGGCAGCAACAACACATCAGAGGCAGCAACAACACATCAGAGGCAGCAACAACACATCAGAGGCAGCAACAACACATCAGAGGCAGCAACAACACATCAGAGGCAGCAACAACACATCAGAGGCAGCAACAACACATCAGAGGCAGCAACAACACATCAGAGGCAGCAACAACACATCAGAGGCAGCAACAACACATCAGAGGCAGCAACAACACATCAGAGGCAGCAACAACACATCAGAGGCAGCAACAACACATCAGAGGCAGCAACAACACATCAGAGGCAGCAACAACACATCAGAGGCAGCAACAACACATCAGAGGCAGCAACAACACATCAGAGGCAGCAACAACACATCAGAGGCAGCAACAACACATCAGAGGCAGCAACAACACATCAGAGGCAGCAACAACACATCAGAGGCAGCAACAACACATCAGAGGCAGCAACAACACATCAGAGGCAGCAACAACACATCAGAGGCAGCAACAACACATCAGAGGCAGCAACAACACATCAGAGGCAGCAACAACACATCAGAGGCAGCAACAACACATCAGAGGCAGCAACAACACATCAGAGGCAGCAACAACACATCAGAGGCAGCAACAACACATCAGAGGCAGCAACAACACATCAGAGGCAGCAACAACACATCAGAGGCAGCAACAACACATCAGAGGCAGCAACAACACATCAGAGGCAGCAACAACACATCAGAGGCAGCAACAACACATCAGAGGCAGCAACAACACATCAGAGGCAGCAACAACACATCAGAGGCAGCAACAACACATCAGAGGCAGCAACAACACATCAGAGGCAGCAACAACACATCAGAGGCAGCAACAACACATCAGAGGCAGCAACAACACATCAGAGGCAGCAACAACACATCAGAGGCAGCAACAACACATCAGAGGCAGCAACAACACATCAGAGGCAGCAACAACACATCAGAGGCAGCAACAACACATCAGAGGCAGCAACAACACATCAGAGGCAGCAACAACACATCAGAGGCAGCAACAACACATCAGAGGCAGCAACAACACATCAGAGGCAGCAACAACACATCAGAGGCAGCAACAACACATCAGAGGCAGCAACAACACATCAGAGGCAGCAACAACACATCAGAGGCAGCAACAACACATCAGAGGCAGCAACAACACATCAGAGGCAGCAACAACACATCAGAGGCAGCAACAACACATCAGAGGCAGCAACAACACATCAGAGGCAGCAACAACACATCAGAGGCAGCAACAACACATCAGAGGCAGCAACAACACATCAGAGGCAGCAACAACACATCAGAGGCAGCAACAACACATCAGAGGCAGCAACAACACATCAGAGGCAGCAACAACACATCAGAGGCAGCAACAACACATCAGAGGCAGCAACAACACATCAGAGGCAGCAACAACACATCAGAGGCAGCAACAACACATCAGAGGCAGCAACAACACATCAGAGGCAGCAACAACACATCAGAGGCAGCAACAACACATCAGAGGCAGCAACAACACATCAGAGGCAGCAACAACACATCAGAGGCAGCAACAACACATCAGAGGCAGCAACAACACATCAGAGGCAGCAACAACACATCAGAGGCAGCAACAACACATCAGAGGCAGCAACAACACATCAGAGGCAGCAACAACACATCAGAGGCAGCAACAACACATCAGAGGCAGCAACAACACATCAGAGGCAGCAACAACACATCAGAGGCAGCAACAACACATCAGAGGCAGCAACAACACATCAGAGGCAGCAACAACACATCAGAGGCAGCAACAACACATCAGAGGCAGCAACAACACATCAGAGGCAGCAACAACACATCAGAGGCAGCAACAACACATCAGAGGCAGCAACAACACATCAGAGGCAGCAACAACACATCAGAGGCAGCAACAACACATCAGAGGCAGCAACAACACATCAGAGGCAGCAACAACACATCAGAGGCAGCAACAACACATCAGAGGCAGCAACAACACATCAGAGGCAGCAACAACACATCAGAGGCAGCAACAACACATCAGAGGCAGCAACAACACATCAGAGGCAGCAACAACACATCAGAGGCAGCAACAACACATCAGAGGCAGCAACAACACATCAGAGGCAGCAACAACACATCAGAGGCAGCAACAACACATCAGAGGCAGCAACAACACATCAGAGGCAGCAACAACACATCAGAGGCAGCAACAACACATCAGAGGCAGCAACAACACATCAGAGGCAGCAACAACACATCAGAGGCAGCAACAACACATCAGAGGCAGCAACAACACATCAGAGGCAGCAACAACACATCAGAGGCAGCAACAACACATCAGAGGCAGCAACAACACATCAGAGGCAGCAACAACACATCAGAGGCAGCAACAACACATCAGAGGCAGCAACAACACATCAGAGGCAGCAACAACACATCAGAGGCAGCAACAACACATCAGAGGCAGCAACAACACATCAGAGGCAGCAACAACACATCAGAGGCAGCAACAACACATCAGAGGCAGCAACAACACATCAGAGGCAGCAACAACACATCAGAGGCAGCAACAACACATCAGAGGCAGCAACAACACATCAGAGGCAGCAACAACACATCAGAGGCAGCAACAACACATCAGAGGCAGCAACAACACATCAGAGGCAGCAACAACACATCAGAGGCAGCAACAACACATCAGAGGCAGCAACAACACATCAGAGGCAGCAACAACACATCAGAGGCAGCAACAACACATCAGAGGCAGCAACAACACATCAGAGGCAGCAACAACACATCAGAGGCAGCAACAACACATCAGAGGCAGCAACAACACATCAGAGGCAGCAACAACACATCAGAGGCAGCAACAACACATCAGAGGCAGCAACAACACATCAGAGGCAGCAACAACACATCAGAGGCAGCAACAACACATCAGAGGCAGCAACAACACATCAGAGGCAGCAACAACACATCAGAGGCAGCAACAACACATCAGAGGCAGCAACAACACATCAGAGGCAGCAACAACACATCAGAGGCAGCAACAACACATCAGAGGCAGCAACAACACATCAGAGGCAGCAACAACACATCAGAGGCAGCAACAACACATCAGAGGCAGCAACAACACATCAGAGGCAGCAACAACACATCAGAGGCCAGCAGCAACACATCAGAGGCAGCAACAACACATCAGAGGCAGCAACAACACATCAGAGGCAGCAACAACACATCAGAGGCAGCAACAACACATCAGAGGCAGCAACAACACATCAGAGGCAGCAACAACACATCAGAGGCAGCAACAACACATCAGAGGCAGCAACAACACATCAGAGGCAGCAACAACACATCAGAGGCAGCAACAACACATCAGAGGCAGCAACAACACATCAGAGGCAGCAACAACACATCAGAGGCAGCAACAACACATCAGAGGCAGCAACAACACATCAGAGGCAGCAACAACACATCAGAGGCAGCAACAACACATCAGAGGCAGCAACAACACATCAGAGGCAGCAACAACACATCAGAGGCAGCAACAACACATCAGAGGCAGCAACAACACATCAGAGGCAGCAACAACACATCAGAGGCAGCAACAACACATCAGAGGCAGCAACAACACATCAGAGGCAGCAACAACACATCAGAGGCAGCAACAACACATCAGAGGCAGCAACAACACATCAGAGGCAGCAACAACACATCAGAGGCAGCAACAACACATCAGAGGCAGCAACAACACATCAGAGGCAGCAACAACACATCAGAGGCAGCAACAACACATCAGAGGCAGCAACAACACATCAGAGGCAGCAACAACACATCAGAGGCAGCAACAACACATCAGAGGCAGCAACAACACATCAGAGGCAGCAACAACACATCAGAGGCAGCAACAACACATCAGAGGCAGCAACAACACATCAGAGGCAGCAACAACACATCAGAGGCAGCAACAACACATCAGAGGCAGCAACAACACATCAGAGGCAGCAACAACACATCAGAGGCAGCAACAACACATCAGAGGCAGCAACAACACATCAGAGGCAGCAACAACACATCAGAGGCAGCAACAACACATCAGAGGCAGCAACAACACATCAGAGGCAGCAACAACACATCAGAGGCAGCAACAACACATCAGAGGCAGCAACAACACATCAGAGGCAGCAACAACACATCAGAGGCAGCAACAACACATCAGAGGCAGCAACAACACATCAGAGGCAGCAACAACACATCAGAGGCAGCAACAACACATCAGAGGCAGCAACAACACATCAGAGGCAGCAACAACACATCAGAGGCAGCAACAACACATCAGAGGCAGCAACAACACATCAGAGGCAGCAACAACACATCAGAGGCAGCAACAACACATCAGAGGCAGCAACAACACATCAGAGGCAGCAACAACACATCAGAGGCAGCAACAACACATCAGAGGCAGCAACAACACATCAGAGGCAGCAACAACACATCAGAGGCAGCAACAACACATCAGAGGCAGCAACAACACATCAGAGGCAGCAACAACACATCAGAGGCAGCAACAACACATCAGAGGCAGCAACAACACATCAGAGGCAGCAACAACACATCAGAGGCAGCAACAACACATCAGAGGCAGCAACAACACATCAGAGGCAGCAACAACACATCAGAGGCAGCAACAACACATCAGAGGCAGCAACAACACATCAGAGGCCAGCAAGGGTGGTTCTCAACATGCCATGTGCTACCATTCCATCGCCACTCCTATGATGAATTTGACTCCAAAACTGAAAACGTCAACGGTCAAAACGCCACGTTTTGATCCTTGACGCGTCCGTTTTGACCCGTAACGCCACTGATAAAATTTTCCGGGCAGCCCGATCTCAAAAAAAAAAAAAAAGCGAAATCGTGCGACCCGCCAATTGAACTCGATATTTTGAGACCCCAAAACAGGCCCCAACCAAACCAACACTCAAACCACCCTCCACCCATTTGAAACTACTCAACCAACCCATCATCCCTTAGTACTTCACCACAATTCTCCTTTGGAAACCCCATTCTAGGGTTTCCAGCCAGCAACTCCTGCCCCACCACCCTCCTGTTCCCAGGGTTTTTAAAATCTGCCTGGGGTATATTTATGGCTGCCCGCCAGAGCGTCAAACTGGGGGTACCCCTCGGGCAGGGGGCGTCAATAGCGTCAAAACGGTAGCGTTTTGACTCAGAGTCGAAACGCTGAGCGCGTCACATCAAGTCCATCATAGCGTGACTCACCTCACACACACCAGGGGATGATGTGCTGTGAAAGACATTGCGAGTCGCAATCATGGCGACTCACATCAGGAGTTACTCACATCAGGAGTGACTCTGAGAGTGCCACGTGTCACGAGCACATGCTCCTCCACCCGCCAGTCCCACCGGTACGCACACGGACCAGGCGACCACCACCGCTGCCACCGCTCCACTCCGAGCTCCTGCGCACAGCAGAGCAGGCAGGGTTCAGGGGCAATGGGAAGAACCAAAGGTTGTGAGTCCATAGCGACCATACTAAGGCGCTACTGGAATGCGAGGGGCATACAGTCATGGCGACCACCACCGCTGCCACCGCTCCACTCCAAGCTCCTGCGCACAGCACAGCAAGCAGGGTTCAGTCAGATCAATGGCAGGCATGGTTTTAATTTGATAACGTGGAGAGTAAAGCGCCACCTCTCTGCCCAAACCACCAGCGCTGCCACTGCTCCATCCCAAGCTCCTGTGCACAGCAGGCAGGCAGGGTTCAGGGGAAATGGGAAGAGCCAACCAAAGAGGCTGAGTCAATGGTCTGCGTGAAGGGGAAGAACATACAGAGGCGCTACTGGAATGCAAGGGCCACATGGTCCCGGCATACACCACACCACCAGCGCTGCCACCGCTCCACTTCAAGCTCCTGTGCACAGCAGGCAGAGTTCAGCGGCAAGGAGAGAAACCAACCAAAGGCTGGGGTTTCAGGCAGGTACCTAAACCCCGAAACCCTGCACCCAGAACCACGGGCAGCAGTGCTCAGCACTGTGAGTGAGTCCAGGAATCATAGTTTTTTTTTTTCCTCTTCTTTTGAATCACACTATGGGAGGCATGGCTGGGTTTTGAATCGCAGTAGCCTATGACCCTGCCCTACAGGGTTGTGGTGGAACCACTGTATGCGGGGGGGGGGGGGGCATTGAGGCTGGTGGGTGTGGCAGGAGGCGAAGGTTGGTTGGTGGGTACCCTATGGGAGCGGCAGTGGGGAGGCAGGAATGGGAGCGGCACGGCTTTGCGCTCGTTGCCCCGCGCGCCCTTCCACCCATCGTCATACCCAGTAACCTTCTTCACGTCACTTGCGCCCATTTCGAGTCGCCGACCCGTGCGCTACTTTAAACCCTCAATTTGAGGCGCACCGAAAGGCTCTCTCTCCCCCACTTAAGCGCGAATCCGCATCTGCCTGCGGGGGTTGCCGCGCGCTCTACCTCGATTTTATCGGCGGAAACGCCTCGTTCCACGCGCACGCCGTATCGCTCCGCCAGCGGCGCTCGCCGCCGAACGTTGAGCTCCCACTCCGTGCGCGCGGCAATCCCCGCGCTCGGCCCCGTCGCGCGCGCTAACTCCGCGGATTCTGTGAAGCTTGCGCGGGGACCCCGTGCGCCATGACGTTTGCGCGCGCCAAAACCAGCGGAAAGGCCGGTGTATGTGAGGGGGAATGGGGGCTTGCAGCGCGTAAGGGGTTGTAGTCTCGTGGTTTGGGCTTCGGAGGAGACGTCTCTTGCGGGAGCGAACGGCCCAGCGAAGTGATTCGCGCTAAGAGCTGACGCATGTGCCGCCATACCAGAAGCGAGAAAAGGCGAAACGTTGTTATTAAAGGGCGATAGTGAGGACTGCGTGTAAGACTCTTACAGTAAGAGGGTCGTGGTCAGAGAGGATCGAAGACTCGTCCCAGCTCCTGCCGGAGGAAATGCCAGTGATTTGAGGCGTGAAGCCCATTGAGGGAATGGGCTTGATTCGATATAGTTTTGATTTTCTTTTGGAAACAACATAGACTATACGTACACACAGAACATCCATATAATATGTAGTATATACACGAGGAATGTCGTAACATTTCTAATGACCATTGAGAAAGTACCTGTGAAATTCGACAGATTCCTCTTTCGCGAAATAGTGCCAGCACCTCGGCACGCCTTCATAAAACGCGATGCGTTTAATGCTTTTGTGACCGTGCTTGCTCCAACCCCAAGAAACTAGCGCGAGCCGCGCGCCACACCGTGCTTCGCGCGGCACCCGTTGCGCGCTCGCGCCACTCTTTCCGCATTCGCCGCGTTCCTGATCGCTCGCCTCTCCAGGTACGCACGAAACGCGTGCTCTCCGCCCCTCACCTCTCTGCCCCACGCCTTCCACTCCCTCACCGTCCCGCCGCCCCCTTTCGTCCTTCCTCCCACTTTCGTCTTGCGCTCCCTTCGCTTCCCGCGTGCTCCGCGCGCCGTCGCCCCCCTGGCCCCATCTACCCTCGCTTTCCCCCGTCTCGCTCCCTTCGTCCCCCCAGCCTGACTCCCTCGCCGTGCCTTCTTCCCCCTCACTGCCTCCCTCCCTTCCCCCTCTCCGTGACCGGTAGGGTGGGCGGGGGAGGATGGGAGGCGGTCGAGGGGAGGCGGGTGGCAAGGTGGAAAAAAACGGTTGTCGAAAAAAACGATTGTTTTTTTCGATTGTATTTTACGGTATATTTTGGGAAAAAAAACGTCGTTTTTTTGTTAGGAAAAAACGAACGCCAATTTTTTCAAAGATGCTGTTTTGAGCAAACAAGCGCCCCACAACATCTCTTGATGCATCAACAGCACTCATAACGGCCCTCTCATTCTATTTATGAAAAGTTGCCCATGTTACAGCAGAAGTTAAGAGATTTCCTGAAAAAAACGATGGTTTTTTTCCACCCAAATGCCACATTTTGTTGAAACCGTTTTTTTATCGTTTTTTACGATTGATTCTTACGATACGGTATTTTACGATCAAAATTTGAAAAAACGTCGTTTTTTTGCACCTTGGCGGGTGGGGGGAAGGACAACGGTTGAGGTGGTGGAGGAGGGTTGAAGGGAGACGGTTTGGGTAGGGGCGTGTTGGAGGAGAGGGGGAGAAGAGGAGTGCAATAAGCGTTGTGTATGAGAGGGGAGAGGGTGAAACGAGGGGGGGTTGCTGGCGAGAGTGAGAAGAAGGAAAGACGTTACTACTATCCATGCATTGCCGGCAAGTGCTGGGGGGGCACCTACGCACACGGCACTTGCCTTGCTACGCCACTGACCTCGTTCCCTCGTTCCCTCTTTCCCTCTCCCTCTCTCCCTCCTCCTCTCGCACCTCTCTCCCCTCGGCCCTCTCGCATCTCTTGTCTCGTGCTGCAGTGCAGCCATGACACCTCACGATGACGTGGCAATTCATCCACCTGTGCCTGATGACGTGGCAAGTCATCCACCTGTGCCTGATGACGTGGCAAATCGCCCCCGTGTGTTGGTCTTGGGCTCTCCCTCTGTTGGCAAAACCACCCTCGCACAGCGTATGTCTCCCTCCTCTCCCTCTTCTCCCTCCTCTCCCTCTTCTCCCTCTTCTCCCTCCCCTCCCTCCCTTCTCCTCCCTCCCTCCCTTCCCCCCCTCCCTCCCCTCCCTCCCCTCCTTCCCCTCCCTCCCCTCCTTCCCCTCCCTCCCCTCCTTCCCCTCCCTCCCCTCCTTCCCCTCCCTCCCCGCCCTGCAGCCATTCTGTCCTCCCTGCTCCTCCCATCGCTGCTGCGTTCACCCTTCACCATCATCACCCTTTTGCCTTCCCGTTGCCCCTTTCCCCTTTTTCCATTCTCTCTCCCCGGTTCCTCTCCCATTCCTTTCCTTAATGCCTCTTGGTCTGCCCTGCCCCCCCTCACCCTGCTTCTCTAACCCCCTCCCTTCCCCCTGTGGCCTGCAGGAATCACAGCCGCACAACCCCACGACAACAGCAGCAGCAGCGACGCGGTAGCGGGCGAGTGCTTCAGGTGGGCAGTGCTTCAGGTGGGCAGTGCTTCAGGTGGGCAGTGCTTCAGGTGGGCAGTGCTTCAGGTGGGCAGTGCTTCAGGTGGGCAGTGCTTCAGGTGGGCAGTGCTTCAGGTGGGCAGTGCTTCAGGTGGGCAGTGCTTCAGGTGGGCAGTGCTTCAGGTGGGCAGTGCTTCAGGTGGGCAGTGCTTCAGGTGGGCAGTGCTTCAGGTGGGCAGTGCTTCAGGTGGGCAGTGCTTCAGGTGGGCAGTGCTTCAGGTGGGCAGTGCTTCAGGTGGGCAGTGCTTCAGGTGGGCAGTGCTTCAGGTGGGCAGTGCTTCAGGTGGGCAGTGCTTCAGGTGGGCAGTGCTTCAGGTGGGCAGTGCTTCAGGTGGGCAGTGCTTCAGGTGGGCAGTGCTTCAGGTGGGCAGTGCTTCAGGTGGGCAGTGCTTCAGGTGGGCAGTGCTTCAGGTGGGCAGTGCTTCAGGTGGGCAGTGCTTCAGGTGGGCAGTGCTTCAGGTGGGCAGTGCTTCAGGTGGGCAGTGCTTCAGGTGGGCAGTGCTTCAGGTGGGCAGTGCTTCAGGTGGGCAGTGCTTCAGGTGGGCAGTGCTTCAGGTGGGCAGTGCTTCAGGTGGGCAGTGCTTCAGGTGGGCAGTGCTTCAGGTGGGCAGTGCTTCAGGTGGGCAGTGCTTCAGGTGGGCAGTGCTTCAGGTGGGCAGTGCTTCAGGTGGGCAGTGCTTCAGGTGGGCAGTGCTTCAGGTGGGCAGTGCTTCAGGTGGGCAGTGCTTCAGGTGGGCAGTGCTTCAGGTGGGCAGTGCTTCAGGTGGGCAGTGCTTCAGGTGGGCAGTGCTTCAGGTGGGCAGTGCTTCAGGTGGGCAGTGCTTCAGGTGGGCAGTGCTTCAGGTGGGCAGTGCTTCAGGTGGGCAGTGCTTCAGGTGGGCAGTGCTTCAGGTGGGCAGTGCTTCAGGTGGGCAGTGCTTCAGGTGGGCAGTGCTTCAGGTGGGCAGTGCTTCAGGTGGGCAGTGCTTCAGGTGGGCAGTGCTTCAGGTGGGCAGTGCTTCAGGTGGGCAGTGCTTCAGGTGGGCAGTGCTTCAGGTGGGCAGTGCTTCAGGTGGGCAGTGCTTCAGGTGGGCAGTGCTTCAGGTGGGCAGTGCTTCAGGTGGGCAGTGCTTCAGGTGGGCAGTGCTTCAGGTGGGCAGTGCTTCAGGTGGGCAGTGCTTCAGGTGGGCAGTGCTTCAGGTGGGCAGTGCTTCAGGTGGGCAGTGCTTCAGGTGGGCAGTGCTTCAGGTGGGCAGTGCTTCAGGTGGGCAGTGCTTCAGGTGGGCAGTGCTTCAGGTGGGCAGTGCTTCAGGTGGGCAGTGCTTCAGGTGGGCAGTGCTTCAGGTGGGCAGTGCTTCAGGTGGGCAGTGCTTCAGGTGGGCAGTGCTTCAGGTGGGCAGTGCTTCAGGTGGGCAGTGCTTCAGGTGGGCAGTGCTTCAGGTGGGCAGTGCTTCAGGTGGGCAGTGCTTCAGGTGGGCAGTGCTTCAGGTGGGCAGTGCTTCAGGTGGGCAGTGCTTCAGGTGGGCAGTGCTTCAGGTGGGCAGTGCTTCAGGTGGGCAGTGCTTCAGGTGGGCAGTGCTTCAGGTGGGCAGTGCTTCAGGTGGGCAGTGCTTCAGGTGGGCAGTGCTTCAGGTGGGCAGTGCTTCAGGTGGGCAGTGCTTCAGGTGGGCAGTGCTTCAGGTGGGCAGTGCTTCAGGTGGGCAGTGCTTCAGGTGGGCAGTGCTTCAGGTGGGCAGTGCTTCAGGTGGGCAGTGCTTCAGGTGGGCAGTGCTTCAGGTGGGCAGTGCTTCAGGTGGGCAGTGCTTCAGGTGGGCAGTGCTTCAGGTGGGCAGTGCTTCAGGTGGGCAGTGCTTCAGGTGGGCAGTGCTTCAGGTGGGCAGTGCTTCAGGTGGGCAGTGCTTCAGGTGGGCAGTGCTTCAGGTGGGCAGTGCTTCAGGTGGGCAGTGCTTCAGGTGGGCAGTGCTTCAGGTGGGCAGTGCTTCAGGTGGGCAGTGCTTCAGGTGGGCAGTGCTTCAGGTGGGCAGTGCTTCAGGTGGGCAGTGCTTCAGGTGGGCAGTGCTTCAGGTGGGCAGTGCTTCAGGTGGGCAGTGCTTCAGGTGGGCAGTGCTTCAGGTGGGCAGTGCTTCAGGTGGGCAGTGCTTCAGGTGGGCAGTGCTTCAGGTGGGCAGTGCTTCAGGTGGGCAGTGCTTCAGGTGGGCAGTGCTTCAGGTGGGCAGTGCTTCAGGTGGGCAGTGCTTCAGGTGGGCAGTGCTTCAGGTGGGCAGTGCTTCAGGTGGGCAGTGCTTCAGGTGGGCAGTGCTTCAGGTGGGCAGTGCTTCAGGTGGGCAGTGCTTCAGGTGGGCAGTGCTTCAGGTGGGCAGTGCTTCAGGTGGGCAGTGCTTCAGGTGGGCAGTGCTTCAGGTGGGCAGTGCTTCAGGTGGGCAGTGCTTCAGGTGGGCAGTGCTTCAGGTGGGCAGTGCTTCAGGTGGGCAGTGCTTCAGGTGGGCAGTGCTTCAGGTGGGCAGTGCTTCAGGTGGGCAGTGCTTCAGGTGGGCAGTGCTTCAGGTGGGCAGTGCTTCAGGTGGGCAGTGCTTCAGGTGGGCAGTGCTTCAGGTGGGCAGTGCTTCAGGTGGGCAGTGCTTCAGGTGGGCAGTGCTTCAGGTGGGCAGTGCTTCAGGTGGGCAGTGCTTCAGGTGGGCAGTGCTTCAGGTGGGCAGTGCTTCAGGTGGGCAGTGCTTCAGGTGGGCAGTGCTTCAGGTGGGCAGTGCTTCAGGTGGGCAGTGCTTCAGGTGGGCAGTGCTTCAGGTGGGCAGTGCTTCAGGTGGGCAGTGCTTCAGGTGGGCAGTGCTTCAGGTGGGCAGTGCTTCAGGTGGGCAGTGCTTCAGGTGGGCAGTGCTTCAGGTGGGCAGTGCTTCAGGTGGGCAGTGCTTCAGGTGGGCAGTGCTTCAGGTGGGCAGTGCTTCAGGTGGGCAGTGCTTCAGGTGGGCAGTGCTTCAGGTGGGCAGTGCTTCAGGTGGGCAGTGCTTCAGGTGGGCAGTGCTTCAGGTGGGCAGTGCTTCAGGTGGGCAGTGCTTCAGGTGGGCAGTGCTTCAGGTGGGCAGTGCTTCAGGTGGGCAGTGCTTCAGGTGGGCAGTGCTTCAGGTGGGCAGTGCTTCAGGTGGGCAGTGCTTCAGGTGGGCAGTGCTTCAGGTGGGCAGTGCTTCAGGTGGGCAGTGCTTCAGGTGGGCAGTGCTTCAGGTGGGCAGTGCTTCAGGTGGGCAGTGCTTCAGGTGGGCAGTGCTTCAGGTGGGCAGTGCTTCAGGTGGGCAGTGCTTCAGGTGGGCAGTGCTTCAGGTGGGCAGTGCTTCAGGTGGGCAGTGCTTCAGGTGGGCAGTGCTTCAGGTGGGCAGTGCTTCAGGTGGGCAGTGCTTCAGGTGGGCAGTGCTTCAGGTGGGCAGTGCTTCAGGTGGGCAGTGCTTCAGGTGGGCAGTGCTTCAGGTGGGCAGTGCTTCAGGTGGGCAGTGCTTCAGGTGGGCAGTGCTTCAGGTGGGCAGTGCTTCAGGTGGGCAGTGCTTCAGGTGGGCAGTGCTTCAGGTGGGCAGTGCTTCAGGTGGGCAGTGCTTCAGGTGGGCAGTGCTTCAGGTGGGCAGTGCTTCAGGTGGGCAGTGCTTCAGGTGGGCAGTGCTTCAGGTGGGCAGTGCTTCAGGTGGGCAGTGCTTCAGGTGGGCAGTGCTTCAGGTGGGCAGTGCTTCAGGTGGGCAGTGCTTCAGGTGGGCAGTGCTTCAGGTGGGCAGTGCTTCAGGTGGGCAGTGCTTCAGGTGGGCAGTGCTTCAGGTGGGCAGTGCTTCAGGTGGGCAGTGCTTCAGGTGGGCAGTGCTTCAGGTGGGCAGTGCTTCAGGTGGGCAGTGCTTCAGGTGGGCAGTGCTTCAGGTGGGCAGTGCTTCAGGTGGGCGCTGTTGAGAGTGCTTCAGCCTCTGGCAGGAAAGGCCGCAACTCATTTTGCATATTTGCACTCCATTCCGCACCAACCACACGTGAAGCAGCATGTCTTGTCATGTCACCGCTGCTGGCTTCGTTGGACGGCCATTTGAACCGCACTGAACTGCACCGCATCCATCCCAACGCCGGGCCTCACTGAACCGCTTTGCGCTGTATGATTGGTTTGCTTGCATGTGCATGCAGCGTTTCACTTCCCCGCCCGCCCAACCAGCTGCCTGGTCCATGCCAAGTAGCACTTCGCATCACAGTTGCTTGCCCCCTGCCCATCCGTCCCCTCTCTCTTCCTCCCCCCCCTTGGCTGGTACGTGCACAGCAACTACTGCACGGCTCAAGAGTCCCCCCAGACTCCCCTTCGCATTCTAAAGTATTCCTTTCCTTCCTCTCCTATCCCTCTCCCCTTCACAACACTTTGACCCACCTTGCAGCACAGCTCTCTCCCACCCCTCCCCACCCCTCCCTACCCATCCCCCCTCCCCCCTCCTGGCACACGGCCCCCCACAAGGCCACCAAGTATTAAATGGCAGCCGTGGCCGTGTGGATGGCTGCTTGACCCACCTTGCAACCCGTTGCCCACCCCCTGCCTTCCGCCCTCTCCTTCCCCCATCACAGGTGGCAGGTAGACACCAAGTACTACACGGCAGCAGTGGCCGTGTGCACGGCGCTTTCACCCACCGTGCAGCACAGCTGCTTGCCCCCTGCCCCGTCCACCCTTCCTTCTTCCCTACATTTCTCCTCCCTTCTCCTCCCATCCCCAGCTGGCAGGTAGACACCAAGTACTACACGGCAGCAGTGGCCGTGTGCACGGCTCTTCCACCCACCTCGTAGGCGTAGCAAGTCTCTCCAACCCCTATTCTCCCTCCCCCCCCACCCCAGCTGGCAGGTAGACACCAAGTACTACACGGCAGCAGTGGCCGTGTGCACGGCTCTTCCACCCACCTCGTAGGCGTAGCAAGTCTCTCCAACCCCTATTCTCCCTCCCCCCCCCACCCCAGCTGGCAGGTAGACACCAAGTACTACACGGCAGCAGTGGCCGTGTGCACGGCTCTTCCACCCACCTCGTAGGCGTAGCAAGTCTCTCCAACCCCTATTCTCCCTCCCCCCCCCACCCCAGCTGGCAGGTAGACACCAAGTACTACACGGCAGCAGTGGCCGTGTGCACGGCTCTTCCACCCACCTCGTAGGCGTAGCAAGTCTCTCCAACCCCTATTCTCCCTCCCCCCCCCACCCCAGCTGGCAGGTAGACACCAAGTACTACACGGCAGCAGTGGCCGTGTGCACGGCTCTTCCACCCACCTCGTAGGCGTAGCAAGTCTCTCCAACCCCTATTCTCCCTCCCCCCCCCACCCCAGCTGGCAGGTAGACACCAAGTACTACACGGCAGCAGTGGCCGTGTGCACGGCTCTTCCACCCACCTCGTAGGCGTAGCAAGTCTCTCCAATCCCTATTCTCCCTCCCCCCCCCACCCCAGCTGGCAGGTAGACACCAAGTACTACACGGCAGCAGTGGCAGTGGTCACGGCGCGCCTATCCTCTGTGCCTCCCTGCGGCGCCACGGGTCCCACCTCGCCCCTCGTGAGGGGCGCTGAGGCGCTGCTGCTCGTCTTTGACCTCTCCAATGTGAGCCCGGGGAGTTAGTAGGTTCTCCCAATGTGGTGCGAGTGCACTGGTCGCTGGTGCACTTGGGAGTAGGCTGCCCCAAGCCTCGCCCCTCGTGAGGGGCGCTGAGGCGCTGCTGCTGGTCTTTGACCTCTCCAACGTGTGTATGCGCCCTGGCGAGTATGTGGGGTGGTGCAGGGAGGGGGGTGGTGCAGGGAGGGGGGTGGTGCAGGGAGGGGGGTGGTACTGAAATTAGGGTGACGCTGGAATTAGGGTTGTGATGGGTAGAATAGAAGGTCGTCCCTCTAGCCTCCTGAATGGTGCACGTCATTTCTCATCCGTGCTGCCACCCGTGCTGCCAATTATGCTATCGTGAGGTGATGCTGCTGCCGCTTTCGCTCCACTACTGCCGGCTCTTGGCTTGCCTTCCTGCGCACATGCCTCTCGTGAGAAAACAGAATGCCCCATCCCCTTCTCTACCTCGTCCCCTCCCCCCGATTGGCTCACCCTCCCCCGCTCCCCTGCCAGCCTGCATCATTCACAGCAGTGCAGCGGTGGGCAGAGCAGGCTGACGTGAGTCGCTTTGAGATCCGCCTGTGCGTGGGCAACAAGGCGGACCGAGTGAGGCGTGGGGGCAGTGGGGGGCACAGCAGCAGAGGGGTGCAACGTCGTGGGCGGCAGAGGGAAGGGGGGAAAGATGGGGACGAGCACACAGACTTTGATGGCGCCCTGCTGCTGGTTGCAGGCAGGGGGGATGGGGATGGGGATGGGAATGGGGAGGGGGAAGGGGGAGGGGAGCAGGAGGGGAGAGAGGGGGAGGAAGTGGGGGAATTAGCTTTGGCAGGCGAAGGGGAGAGGGATTGGAGCAAAGAGGGGGCAGGTGAGGTGGGTGGAGGGGAGGAGGGGGAGGTGAAACGGCGGCAGTGCGAGGAGTGGTGTGCGGACAATGGTATTGAGTATGTGGAGGCGTGTGCTGCCCATGAGGCCATCGATGCTGGTGCGTGGGCGTGCGTGAAAGAGTGAGTGGGGTGAGTGAGTGAGCCAGAGGGAGTGGTGTGCAGACAATGGCATTGAGTACGTGGAGGCGTGTGCTACTCACGAAGCAATAGATGCTGGTGAGTGGGCGTGCAGCGGGAGTGGGCCTGCGTAAGTGACACGGAGTGGTCTTGACAATGGCATCGAGTATGTGGAGGCGTGCGCTGCCAGCGTGGCCATTGACGCTGGTGAGTGGGTGGGTCGAGATGACTGTGCGTGGGTGAGTGGGCCGGACTGAGTGCTTCAGGGTGAGTGGTGTGCAGACAATGGCATTGAGTATGTGGAGGCGTGTGCTGCCCACGCGGAGATTGATGCTGGTGAGTGGGCCTTGAGCGAGTGAGTGAGTGGGTGCGTGTGTGGGCCGGAGTGAAAGGTGTGCAGACAATGGCATTGAGTATGTGGAGGCATGTGCTGCACATGAGGCTGTTGATGCTGGTGAGTGGGCGTGCCGTGTGAGTGAGTGCGTGAGTGAGTGAGTGAGTGAGTGAGTGAGTGCGTGAGTTAGTGAATGAGTGAGTGAGTGGGTGAGTGAGTGAGTGAGTGAGTGAGTGAGTGGGTGAGTGAGTGAGTGAGTGAGTGGATTAGTGAATGAGTGACTGAGGTGGTGGGTGGGTGGGTGACTAAGTGAGTGATTGAGGGGAGGAGTGAGTGCTTTATGTGTACCCTTGTGTGCCCCACCATTCATACCCTTTCCCCCTACACCCCTCCCCTCCCACGCACAGCCCTGGGCACGGATGGTGACGCACAGGGAGTGCAGCGCATTCGCACGGCCCTGGGCGCGCACATGTGGCCGGGGCTGACCCTTGCGACCCTTGTGTTCCCCCGCACACCCCCATCTCCCCCACCCCATCGCCCCCACAGCCCTGGGCACGGACGGTGACATGCAAGGCATAGAGCGCATTCGCACTGCCCTGGGCACGCACATGTGGCCGGGGCTGACCCTCAAGGCACAAGGGGGGACGCGGGGTGGTCCCATGCAGGGCCTGTCGCACCTCATGGAATTGGGGGGCAGCGATGCATCACACGTGCATGAAGGTGCGCTCAGCTGCTTCCTCCCTGGAAGGAGGAGCAGTGACACATGCACACTCGTGCACGCACACAAGTGTTTTGACTCATTTCCCACTAGCCATTGTGCACACGTCAACCCCTGCTCCTCATTCACTCTCCTGTCTCCCACGCCCCCAACCTCTCAACCCCATCGCCTGCTTGTTCCTGCATCATGATGGCCACACCCAAGCACGGTCTCCGCCAGCCACACTCCAGCCATTGCTCACTGCCTGCACGCCTTCTCTGTCTGTTGGAAACGAGAACATCTCCCTTGTCGTCTCGTATCTCCCCTCACGCGCATCCCACTGACCTCCGTATGTGTCCGCCCACCCCGCAGGCCAACCCGACTCTCCACATTCGTCCTCGGCATCAGAGGGCAGTACTGACAGTGAGAGTGACCCCACCTCCTTGGACCCAGCGCACTTCCCCTACCACCGCCTGGACGACGCCCCTGACCCCGCGCTGCCCCACTCGCCCCCGGCACGCACCTCCCTCACCTCCGCTCCCTGCGCTGCTTCTGCTGCTGATGGGTCCCTGCCTGCTGATGACGCTGGCAGTGCTGGTGGTGCTGCTGGTGCTGGCAGTGCTGGTTGTGGTGCTGGTGGTGGTGGGAAGGAGGAGGAACAGAAGGAGGAAGAGGAGGGGAACGAGGCGGATGAGGATTTTGGGCCGTTTGTGCATGGATTGGGTGCTGCCGCTGGTTCGGGTGCTGCCGCTGGTTCGGGTGCTGCTGCTGGTCCAGATGCTGCCGCTGGTTCGGATGCTGCCGCTGGTCCAGATGCTGCTGCTGGTCCAGATGCTGCCGCTGGTTCGGATGCTGCCGCTGGTTCGGATGCCGCTGCTGGTTCAGCTCGTGATGCGCACGGTTGGGACGGAGTGAGCAGTAAGGAGAACACCCAGTGTGCAGCTGTGAGAGGAGAGAGTGACAGCACTGACAGTGACAAGCATGAGGGGGTGAACCCATTCTCCCACGGTGATGATGGTGACGAGGCGAGCGCGGGCATGGACGGCATGGAGCGTCTGTTTCTGCAGGTGGCGTCGGTGCGCAGCAGCCTGCAGAACGCCCCCGACGCCGTGCGGAGAGACACGGCCGCCCGGCTGGCCATGCAGATTGCACAGATGATGGGGGGTGATGATGATGATGGGTGGGAGTGATGCGTTGGTGGGGATGAACATGATGGGAAGGAGCAGAAGTGAGGGTGCCACCTCTATGATGCAATTGGAGTGTGAGCATGCAGCTTGCCGTTCGTTTCCAATTGAAACTATGCAAACCCACCAACATACCCTCTTCTGTAATAACGTATATCCCGATATGCGTTCTATCTACACGATTCTGTTCAGGTTGGAATATGCTGATTATCTGCCATTTGCCATGAAATGCTATGAGTAGAGGGATTTCAGGCTCTGAGCCTACATGTTTTTTCACTTTAGCTGGCTTCTGTATTTTCCCTGCTATCTGGCTTCTTCCATATTATGATTGTGTAACAGTGTATTCAGCTGATCGTCAATGGTCGCGAAACTCGACGATGGACAGCGCTTTCCCCGCTGTGATGGTGGTACGCGGACACGCGTTGCTTCGGTAACCAAACACGTTCGTGAAAGCTTCAGCATGGCATGGTGATTCTTGTTCTCACACCGTCCTTCGCTGTGGTTTTCTAACAAGGCGCGAGATTGTCTTCCGCGCGACTTTCATTTCGCGCGCCACTCATCAAGCCGCACTCGCCACGTTCCACATCTCTCGCCTCGCCAGGTGCGCACGGAGCGCGCCGCGCCCCTCCTCACCCCTAGTTCACCCAGGCGCTAGTCCCTTTCGTCCTTCTCCGAACGCGCCTCGCACCCACCCCATCTCCCTCGTCGCCCTCCCTCCCCGCCCTCCCTTCTCCTTGCTCTTATAGAAAGATGTAAAGTAAGGCAGTTAGGGTCTATTTTTGTGAGAGGGGCGAGGGGTGAGACGGGGAGAGAAACGAAACAGGGCAAAGATGAGGAGAAGAGGAGAGCGGTGTACGCGTTTAATGTGAGAGGAGAATAGGCGAAACGACAGGAGGTTGATTGCGGGGACGAAAAGGCGAACTCCGCATCCATGCATTCCCCATCTCCCCCTTCACGGCAGTTGCCCTGCCATGGCACTGAAAGCTTTCCCTCTCTCCGCTCTATCCTCCGCGCCTTCCAGTGTGATTGCCCCTCCTCCCTCGCATCTCTGCCCCTCTGCGCCCCCGGCGTACGACCCCACTGCACCCCAGCCGATTCCAGCCGATCCCAACCCATCCCAGTCGACTCGAGCTCTCACTCCACCCCTCCCCACCCCACCCCACCCCAGCTGACTGAAGCCTTTGCCAATTGAGCAGTGGCTGACTGGCACGCAACCTGGTTGCCAGGCTAGCGGACCAGCGGACGGCGCGGGGGAGGGGCGGGTGGAAGGCGGGCATGGGCGGCAGCGATGGCAAGGGGGAAAAGGGGCGCGTGGTGTGTGTGACGTGTGGGGCGCGGCGGGAGCAGCTGTACCGCGTGCACTCGCCGGGGAGCATTGAGGTGCTCAAATGCGTGAGTGCTCAAATGCGTGAGTGCTCAAATGCGTGAGTGCTCAAATGCGTGAGTGCTCAAATGCGTGAGTGCTCCAATGCGTGAGTGCTCAAATGCGTGAGTGCTCCAATGCGTGAGTGCTCAAATGCGTGAGTGCTCCAATGCGTGAGTGCTCAAATGCATGAGTGCTCCAATGCGTGAGTGCTCCAATGCGTGAGTGCTCCAATGCGTGAGTGCTCCAATGCGTGAGTGCTCAAATGCGTGAGTGCTCCAATGCGTGAGTGCTCCAATGCGTGAGTGCTCCAATGCGTGAGTGCTCCAATGCGTGAGTGCTGCTTCCCTCCATGCCCCCGTGCTCAAGCGCATGAGTGCTGCCCTGACACTCGGCAGAGTCTCTCTCACTCTATCTTCGCCCTCCGCACTCTCACTCCCCCATGTTCCCCATTTCCCCCATGCCTCATACGCCATATGCCGTGCCCTATCGCTCCTCCCCCTAATCCCCCTTCTGTAATGCCCCATGCCATGCGCCATGTCACCATCACCAGGGCGAGTGTGGAGCTGCAGCCGACCCCTACGTCGAGTGCGACCCCCTGGTGCGTGCAGGTGGGGGGCATGAGTGGGGGGCATGTGCGGCCCCCTGGTGCGCCTCCTCCCACTGCCTGTGCCATGCCATCCCGGCACACACCATTGTCACATGCTTTCGTCGACTTCAATTCGCCCCTCCACTACCCCATGTCACTCCCCACTCCTTCCTGAAGCACCCCCCATCTGCTGCATGCTCCTGTGTCTCTTCTCATGTGCTCCCGTGTCTCCTCTCGTGTGCTCCTGCTCCCCCACCCATGCACTTCTCCCATGCACCCCCTCCTGCCCTACCCACCCACTGCCGAACGCGTTTCTATTAAAGCCCAAAGCGCTCTCGTGCCATGCATCACATGCTGCTGCATCAGCCCCATGTCTCCCGTGCTCATCTGTCCCCTCCAATCCTCCGGCGTCCTCAACCCCTCCCTTGCACCCACCGTAGCTGGTGCCACTAGACATGCTGCTGCTGAAGCCCCAGGCCCCCCCCCCCCACGACACCTCCCATGCACCCCTCCCCTCTCTCCCCCGCCACAGCTGGCCGCGCCCATCCTCCCCCACCAGTGTGCTCCTGTCCCTCCACCCATGTGCTCCTGTCCCTCCACCCATGTGCCCTCCTGCCCGCACTCCCATGCGCCGCTCCTCCCCCCCCACCCATTCCCCCCTCTTGGAACCCCCACCTCAGCTCGTACTGCTGGACGTGCTGCTCTTAAAGCCCCAGGCGCCTCTCATGTGTCCTGTCCCCTCCCATTCCTCCTCCTGCCCTCCAATCCCCCCCATCCCCCAGCTGGTGCTGCTGGACGTGCTACTCTTAAAGCCCCAGGCGCACCGCCACGTGGTGCACAACCTCGTGCTCGCCTCGACCGTCCCCCTCGCTGTCAGTGCAGTGCAGTGCATGCCATGATGCCACCAGCGGGGTCATCCGGGTGTTGACTGGCGGGGCGGGGGTCAGTGAAGTGCCGTGAGTCGGCTCAAAACTCACCCGCCCCCACCCCATACTGTCAGTGCATGCATCCAGGGGTGTCAGCAAAGTGTCTTTAGGGGGTTGAACGGAGTGTCTTGGGAGGGCTTCCTGTACGGAGTTGCTTGTGACGCCGCTTAGGAGAAAGGCCCCGCTCAGCGCTTTCATGAAACGGCACCAACTTTCAGACTTTTGAACCTGCTGAAAATGAGCCCTGTTGAAGTCTCTTCACCTGCTGCCCCCTTGTGCATGCGTGCTGCAGCCGCACACCAACTCTGTCTCGAGCCCCAACCTGCCGTCTCGTCTTCCATCACACTCATGAGCTACCATCCACCTCCGCCACTAATCACCTTGCTTTGCCACTCACTCACACTTTCCCACCCACTGCCTGTCCTCGTACAAGTCAACCTCACTTGGACCCTCATTTGCCTCCCGCCTGTCTCCGTGGTGCCACCACCGACCATGTCCGTTGTGACCCTCATTTGCCTCCACTCTCTCCGCGCCTTCCTTTCATCTACCTCTTTGCCCCGCCTTCCCCAACCCTTCCCCAATACTCCTGCCACTCCATGGGCAGCGTCCGCTGTGCCTCGCCACGGCCCTCATCCTGCTCTGCCATGCCAGTGAGTCAGCAGTCAGTGCCACCATATGTCGCACGGCCGTGCCGGCTCGGTGCCACCATGCCAGTGAGTCGCATGCCACCATGCCAGTGAGTCGCGTGCCACCATGCCAGTGAGTCGCGTGCCACCATGCCAGTGAGTCGCGTGCCACCATGCCAGTGAGTCGCGTGCCACCATGCCAGTGAGTCGCATGCCACCATGCCAGTGAGTCGCGTGCCACCATGCCAGTGAGTCGCGTGCCACCATGCCAGTGAGTCGCGTGCCACCATGCCAGTGAGTCGCGTGCCACCATGCCAGTGAGTCGCGTGCCACCATGCCAGTGAGTCGCGTGCCACCATGCCAGTGAGTCGCGTGCCACCATGCCAGTGAGTCGCGTGCCACCATGCCAGTGAGTCGCGTGCCACCATGCCAGTGAGTCGCGTGCCACCATGCCAGTGAGTCGCGTGCCACCATGCCAGTGAGTCGCGTGCCACCATGCCAGTGAGTCGCGTGCCACCATGCCAGTGAGTCGCGTGCCACCATGCCAGTGAGTCGCGTGCCACCATGCCAGTGAGTCGCGTGCCACCATGCCAGTGAGTCGCGTGCCACCATGCCAGTGAGTCGCATGCCACCATGCCAGTGAGTCGCGTGCCACCATGCCAGTGAGTCGCGTGCCACCATGCCAGTGAGTCGCGTGCCACCATGCCAGTGAGTCGCGTGCCACCATGCCAGTGAGTCGCGTGCCACCATGCCAGTGAGTCGCGTGCCACCATGCCAGTGAGTCGCGTGCCACCATGCCAGTGAGTCGCGTGCCACCATGCCAGTGAGTCGCGTGCCACCATGCCAGTGAGTCGCGTGCCACCATGCCAGTGAGTCGCGTGCCACCATGCCAGTGAGTCGCGTGCCACCATGCCAGTGAGTCGCGTGCCACCATGCCAGTGAGTCGCGTGCCACCATGCCAGTGAGTCGCGTGCCACCATGCCAGTGAGTCGCGTGCCACCATGCCAGTGAGTCGCGTGCCACCATGCCAGTGAGTCGCGTGCCACCATGCCAGTGAGTCGCGTGCCACCATGCCAGTGAGTCGCGTGCCACCATGCCAGTGAGTCGCGTGCCACCATGCCAGTGAGTCGCGTGCCACCATGCCAGTGAGTCGCGTGCCACCATGCCAGTGAGTCGCGTGCCACCATGCCAGTGAGTCGCGTGCCACCATGCCAGTGAGTCGCGTGCCACCATGCCAGTGAGTCGCGTGCCACCATGCCAGTGAGTCGCGTGCCACCATGCCAGTGAGTCGCGTGCCACCATGCCAGTGAGTCGCGTGCCACCATGCCAGTGAGTCGCGTGCCACCATGCCAGTGAGTCGCGTGCCACCATGCCAGTGAGTCGCGTGCCACCATGCCAGTGAGTCGCGTGCCACCATGCCAGTGAGTCGCGTGCCACCATGCCAGTGAGTCGCATGCCACCATGCCAGTGAGTCGCGTGCCACCATGCCAGTGAGTCGCGTGCCACCATGCCAGTGAGTCGCGTGCCACCATGCCAGTGAGTCGCGTGCCACCATGCCAGTGAGTCGCGTGCCACCATGCCAGTGAGTCGCGTGCCACCATGCCAGTGAGTCGCGTGCCACCATGCCAGTGAGTCGCGTGCCACCATGCCAGTGAGTCGCGTGCCACCATGCCAGTGAGTCGCGTGCCACCATGCCAGTGAGTCGCATGCCACCATGCCAGTGAGTCGCGTGCCACCATGCCAGTGAGTCGCGTGCCACCATGCCAGTGAGTCGCATGCCACCATGCCAGTGAGTCGCGTGCCACCATGCCAGTGAGTCGCGTGCCACCATGCCAGTGAGTCGCGTGCCACCATGCCAGTGAGTCGCGTGCCACCATGCCAGTGAGTCGCGTGCCACCATGCCAGTGAGTCGCGTGCCACCATGCCAGTGAGTCGCGTGCCACCATGCCAGTGAGTCGCGTGCCACCATGCCAGTGAGTCGCGTGCCACCATGCCAGTGAGTCGCGTGCCACCATGCCAGTGAGTCGCGTGCCACCATGCCAGTGAGTCGCATGCCACCATGCCAGTGAGTCGCGTGCCGCCATGCCAGTGAGTCGCGTGCCACCATGCCAGTGAGTCGCATGCCACCATGCCAGTGAGTCGCGTGCCACCATGCCAGTGAGTCGCGTGCCACCATGCCAGTGAGTCAGTGCCACCATGCCAGTGAGTCGCGTGCCACCATGCCAGTGAGTCAGTGCCACCATGCCAGTGAGTCGCGTGCCACCATGCCAGTGAGTCGCGTGCCACCATGCCAGTGAGTCGCGTGCCACCATGCCAGTGAGTCGCGTGCCACCATGCCAGTGAGTCGCGTGCCACCATGCCAGTGAGTCGCATGCCACCATGCCAGTGAGTCGCATGCCACCATGCCAGTGAGTCGCGTGCCACCATGCCAGTGAGTCGCATGCCACCATGCCAGTGAGTCGCGTGCCACCATGCCAGTGAGTCAGTGCCACCATGCCAGTGAGTCGCGTGCCACCATGCCAGTGAGTCGCGTGCCACCATGCCAGTGAGTCGCGTGCCACCATGCCAGTGAGTCGCGTGCCACCATGCCAGTGAGTCGCGTGCCACCATGCCAGTGAGTCGCGTGCCACCATGCCAGTGAGTCGCGTGCCACCATGCCAGTGAGTCGCGTGCCACCATGCCAGTGAGTCGCGTGCCACCATGCCAGTGAGTCAGTGCCACCATGCCAGTGAGTCGCGTGCCACCATGCCAGTGAGTCGCGTGCCACCATGCCAGTGAGTCGCGTGCCACCATGCCAGTGAGTCGCATGCCACCATGCCAGTGAGTCGCATGCCACCATGCCAGTGAGTCGCGTGCCACCATGCCAGTGAGTCGCATGTCACCATGCCAGTGAGTCGCGTGCAACCATATGTCACACGGCCATGCTGGCTCGTATATATGCCATTGATGGAATTACATGCCATATCATCCATACTATAGCTCTTCCACGTCTCTCTCTGCCTGTGCCTTTCCATGTCAGTCTCCCCCTTGCCCTATCACCCCCCCTTCCCCATTTCTACCGTTGCTCCTTCCTTCCTCCACCCTCCGCCCTCGCTTTTCCTCACCATGTTTCCTTTTCCACCATCCCCTTCCACTCCCCCTATCCCCCTTCCCCCGTGCCTCTCCCGCCCATGGCCCATCACACTGCAGCGCTGCTGGTGTTCCGGGCGGCACACGGCATCACAGTTGACCCCGCCGACCTGCTCTCCCTCCCCATCATCGCCCAGGTACTGCCTCCCCCAGGTACTGCCTCAGGTACTGCCTCTCCCAGGTGCCGCCTCAGGTGCCGCCTCAGGTGCTGCTTCAGGTGCTGCCTCAGGTGCTGCCTCAGGTGCTGCTGCCTCAGGCGCTTCCTCAAGCCATTCACACCATGTGTCCACATATAGATGTGCGTATCTAACTTTTCTCCAACATTCTATGTATACATTTTCCCCTTGCATGTTTACGTTTTGGTGCCTTTGCTCGGCACATTATTGCACGGCATGGCATAACATGGCATGCATGCACGGCATATCATGGCATGGCATGGGCTGATGACAGGGTGTGGCAGTATCGCTGCTCTCCAAGCTCCTCTTCCTCGCTCTTGTCTTCTTCTCCCTGCCCGCTGCCCGCCACCTGCTGAGCTGGCTGCCTGCAATTGGACCACCTCACGCAGGCAGCAGTCAGAAGAAGCCACAAAGGTGCACCAGATTCATGTCTGCATGCTTCCCCTCCTGTGCTGTGACCCCACTCTGCTGTGACCCCACTCTCTCGTCTCCACCTCTGCTGCTTTCCGTCATCCCATGATCCACCGTCCCTTGTTTCATCCACTTCCTCCCTCCTCTTTGACTTTGTGCTTCCCCTACCTTCGTCCCCCTCTGCCCTCTCTCTGTATTTCCCTTACACCCCCCACCTTTTCCCCCCTTTCCCCTCACAGTGTGTCCTTCCCACTGGTCTTCTACAGCCTTCTCCTCTCCAGCCCTCCAGAGTGCCTTGCGCTCCCGCTTCTGGTGCGCCCTCTCCTCCTCCTCCCCTTGCTCCTCGTCGTGTGGGATGTGCCATGGCCTCGCTGCATACCACGGATTGGATTGCCATCATCAAGCCGTGCGGTGCCATGCTGGTGTGCACGGCAGCATCGCACGTGGCATCGCATTCTTAAACTCATGAATCACCTTTCTCCCCATGAAATCATTTCGTGTATCACATCTCCCTTTACATGCTAATGCCACATGCCCATGGCACATGCCCCCATGGCACATGCGCATGGCACATCCCACACGCGCATGCCACATGGCACACGCCCACGCCAGATATGGAAGTACGAGTGGGGTATGCTCTTCCTCTCCGTGCAAGTGCTGCTCTTCGTCTCCCACATCGCCTCCTTACAAGGTAATCACACATAGACATGAGAGTAAACCTCTTGTCTTTGTTGCAAATGCATCGCCAGGCACAAGCAATGTTAATGTGGGGAAAGAAAGGTCGATAATGTCTGCCTTCCTCTCTTTTTCGTGCGTCCTCAACTTGTTCGTTTGTTTGTGTTTTTGCTTCTATGTGTTCACAGCTGTTTCCTTCATCCCATGGCCAGCAGCAGCAGCAAGCATAGCATGTGGGCACATGGCCATACATGCATTTGAGAGTAGAGCATGTGCAATGCTTGCTCAAAGCTATTGGGTCCCCAAATAATGTGGCATTTGCCATTTGATATGGGTGTCATATGAAATTAAGAAAACGTTTATGTCATCACCGTTCAAAACGCCCTGGCGTCCTCTAATGGGTGCTAAAAGGTGTAGAATGCCCCTAATTGCAAGAATATATTGGTAATGTACCTGTTATGCGTAGGAGGGCTAACGACTTCCTAAAACAAGGGGTTATAACGAGCACCGAGCAAATGCTCTAAAACGCAACTTTTACTCGATGGTCTCATTCGGGCACAAGATTCAACAGGATTGAGGAGAGTCGGCGACATAGCAGACCTAGTATCCCTGTGAAACAGAATTAGTAAACATAAATAGTAATTTTGGTCGAATCCCGTGTTTTCTTCTCTTCGCGCGCTCGACCTACCAGTACCCCTCTCTACCGCTCTTTCACGCGCCTAGCCAACCGCATTTCCCGTGGGTTCCGCTTACCGCCGCTGCTCCAAGCGCGGATTCCCCCTTGTGCGGCGCAGATGGCGGGGCGCGCGGGGCGCGACAAGGGCGCGCTGCGCGCGATGATGCGCGAGATGGCGCAGAAGACGGAGAAGCGCATCGACTCCCCGCTCGTGAGGTGCGGCGGTGGGCACGAGGGGGTGATTTGGAGTGGTGAGGGCTGCCTAGAAGTGGTGAGGGGCAATGATGCGCGAAGTGGCTCACAAGGCCGCAGAAGGCGGAGAAGCGCATTGAGTCTCCGCTCGTGAGGTGCGGCGGTGAGCACGAAGGGTTGGGGATGAGACTTTCACATATACGGTTCTGAAGGATGTTGAAGGGTGATGGATGGTTTTGGTCGAGTCAAGGCAGGTGTGCGGATGGGTGGTGAGTTGTGCGGGTGGGGCGAAGGAAAAAGGAGTCGCACAGGGTGGGTAGTTAGTGACAAACCACATCTTAAAACCGGGGTACACATTCAGGTTGGGGAACAGTAAACTCGGGGGTTTAGGCAAAATTTGGCCGTAATGTGGGATCAAGGGATAACCCCTGATGCCCACCCAGGTGAATGTGCACCCCGGTTTTAACCTTCGTTTGTCCCTCCCCGCCCGCCAGGTACAACGAACTGGGGCAGGCCGTGTGCCGAGTCTGCACCACGGTGATCAAATCCGAAAGCCTCTGGGCCGCACATCTTGTCAGCAAGCAGCACAAGGAGGTAGGTCTGTCTGTCCCGTACCCCCCGTCCCTCACCTCACCCCCGATGGGTGATGGATCGCCCAGCCCTTCGTCCAAGGAGCAGCGCTTCATTCAAAGCATGCTTCAGAGGAGGGGGGAGCACAAGGGGGAGTCGACCATTCAAAGCATCTTCCACTCCAGGAGGAGCAATGCATCTGTACTTGCTTTGTCCCCTCTCTCTCGCGCCCTCCCTGCCCCTCAGGCCCTCTCTGCCTCTCACGCGCTCCCTGTAAACCCGAAACCTTACAGCCTTTCCAGTCATCCCTGGGCACAGTTCACAACCACAGAGCCAGCCACATCTACTGCGCGCTCCTCTTTTCTCTCTTCGCTGCATCCCCAACACCATGTCTCCCCTCTCCATCGTTCATACTTCTTCACCGTCCCACTTTTTTCTCCCTTGTGCACCGTCCTCCCCTTGCCCCCTTCCCTTCCCCCCTGCACCCCCCCTGCACCTCCCGTCCCTTCTAGAGTGCGGAGCGGCTCAAGCAGAGAGCCAAGGCCGCAGCACCGCCTGCCACCGCTGCTGCCACCAGTGCAGCGCAGCGAACCACAGCTGCAGCAGCCCCGGCAGCGGGTGGCGGAAGGCCTTCCTCCGCTGCCGCTGCTGCTGCCGCTGCTGCTGCCGCTGCTCCCTCTGCTGCTGCTGGGGCCCTCCCGAGTGACTTCTTTGATTCCGCATCCGCGGCTAAACGGCCTCGCCACGGTGGGTGGGTGGGTGGGTGTGGCTGGTGGGTGCATGTGACTGGAGTGTACACACCGTATGATGTTCTTGAAAAAAACTCTTGCTCATCCCGTGTTCTGTGTTCATGCTTCCTCCCCTTTCTTTTGCTCCCCTGACTCTCTCTTGCTCCCCTCCTCTCCTATCCTTCACCCTCCCCCCTCCCCCCACGGTCCCACATCCCTCCCATCAGACCCGCCCTCCGCCACCCCCTCCGCAGCTGCGTGTACAGCAGCAACACAGCCACCAGCAGCCGCGTTGCCTGTGAGACAATCATCCGGACCACCTGCATCCACCCCCGCCGCCATTGCCTCCTCTGCCGCCCCTGCCGCCCCTGCTGCCCGTGCTGCCCCTGCTGCCCGTGCTGCCCGTGCCACTGCGCCTGCCTCATCGGCCCCGCCTGCTGCTCCCAGCACCGCCGGCCTGCCAGCGGATTTCTTTGATGCCGCCCCACCCGCTGCTGCTGCCCCCTCGCTTCCCTCCGCTCCTGCTGCAGCCTCTGCTCTTCCGCCTGATTTCTTCGATGGCCCCTCAACAGCGGCAGCAGCTGCAGCACCCGCTGCTGCTGCGGCCCCTGTTCCTGCTGCTGCTCCTGCCGCTGCTGGTGGGAAGGGAGGGAAAGGGGGAGGCGGGGCGGGCAAGGGGGCGGCAGGCAGGGAGGGAGGGGCGGCGCAGGGGATGTTGCCGGAGGGGTTCTTTGACAGCAAGGAGGCGGACCACAAGGCAAGGGGCGTGGAGTATAAGAAACCAGACGCCGAGTGAGTGGCACTATATGTGGGCAGTGATTGTGTGATTGTATGGCAGGGTTGCACAAGGTGTGGGATTAGATGGGTTCTTTGACAGCAAGGAGGCGGATCACAGGGCGAGGGGCGTGGAGTATAAGAAGCCAGACGCCGAGTGAGTGGCACTCTATGCAGAAGGTGATTGTATGGCAGGTGATTACGGTGCAGGGTTGTGCGAGGGAGCGGTGGGAGGGTTGTGTCGGCGTGTTGAGGAGTAAGTGAGAACGCGCGTGTTGTGCATTGCCTGCCCATGCGCACTGCACTTGCTCCATGCCGGCGCATGCAGTTAGTCGATTTTTGAGGCGACTCAAAAATCTACTAACTACACGTGAGGCGACTAAAAATTCTACTAACTACACGTGAGGCGACTAAAAAATCTACTAACTACACGTGAGTCGACTCAAAAATATACTAACTACACCTGAGTCGACTCAAAAATCTACTAACTACACGTGAGTCGACTCACAAATCTACTAACTACACGTGAGTCGACTCAAAAATCTACTAACTACACGTGAGTCGACTGAAAAATCTACTAACTACACGTGAGTCGACTCAAAAATCATTTGCTCCACGCTGGCGCATGCCCATGTCTATTGTCCCAATGTGCCTTTCTTGCACGCATGCCCATGTCTATTGTCCCAACGTGCCTTTCTTGCACGCATGCCCATGTCTATTGTCCCAATGTGCCTTTCTTGCACGCATGCCCATGTCTATTGTCCCAATGTGCCTTTCTTGCACGCATGCCAATGTCTATTGTCCCAATGTGCCTTTCTTGCACGCATGCCCATGTCTATTGTCCCAATGTGCCTTTCTTGCACGCATGCCCATGTCTATTGTCCCAATGTGCCTTTCTTGCACGCATGCCCATGTCTATTGTCCCAATGTGCCTTTCTTGCACGCATGCTCATGTCTATTGTCCCAATGTGCCTTTCTTGCACGCATGCCCATGTCTATTGTCCCAATGTGCCTTTCTTGCACGCATGCCCATGTCTATTGTCCCAATGTGCCTTTCTTGCACGCATGCCCATGTCTATTGTCCCAATGTGCCTTTCTTGCACGCATGCCCATGTCTATTGTCCCAATGTGCCTTTCTTGCACGCCGTGACTTTTGAGTCGACTCAAATGTCACCTCATGCCCATGTCTATTGTCCCAATGTGCCTTTCTTGCACGCCGTGCTGCTGTGTGCGTGCATGCAGGGAGGAGCTGAGGGCGTTTGAGAGGTCGATCAAAGGCGACATGGCGCACATCGACGAGCGGCAGGAGGAGGAGGAGGTGAGGCAAGGGGGGGGGAGGGGGGGGGGGGGGGGGGGGGGGGGGGGGGGGAAAGAGGGGAGGGAATGCAAGAGGAGAATGATTTGAGCGGTCTATTCGAGGCGACATGGAGCATATTGATGAGCGGCAGGAGGAGGAGGACGTGAGAGAGGAGGGGGGTGGAGAGACATGGGGGAAGGGGGGAGGGAATGCATGATAATAATGATTTGAGCGGTCCATTCGAGGCGACATGGAGCATATTGATGAGCGGCAGGAGGAGGAGGAGGAGGTGAGGGCAAGGGGGGGACACAGGAAGCCCTTTTTTTTCTGGTGACTACTGTGTCGCATTGCCTTGTTGTCCCCGTGTTGCCCTGTGGATAACAACACCCACACCATCCTCCACTTTGCCCCCCTGCTGATCCAGCCCTCCAGGCAGCATAATTTCTCCACATTTCACGATTCCTCCACTTTGTCCTCCACTGCATTTGCGCTCCTCCTTATCGCCTGTCTGACCTTGTCCCGTAGCGTGCCTCTTCCTCCTTGCCTGCTCAGTGCCTCTCTCTCTCCTTCCTCTAGGTATATCGCAGGACATATTATTTCATTTGCGGTGGTGTGAGGTTTCATGACTGTTTCACCATCCCCCTTTTGTGTTCACCCATACCATGCCATGCCACCATGGAATGTCATTATGCTTCCCATGCGATGCCACTATGAAATGCCTGCCATGCCATGCCATGCCACCATGGAATGTCATTATGCTTCCCATGCGATGCCACTATGAAATGCCTGCCATGCCATGCCATGCCACCATGGAATGAATCAGAGGGAGGCAGCGGATGAGCGCGAGGCAAGGGACCAACTCATGCAACGGTGAGAAGCATGCAGACACATTTGCATGGAAGCACACATGGGTGCCGTCGCACTTGGTCATGCACACAAGCACGTCACCTGCCCCACGCATCCTTCTCAGCACCATGCCATGCACCTCTTGTTACTCTACGCGCGGGTCACATCGCCATCCCTCGTCCCTTCCCTCCGAACTTGTTCCCCCATTCCTGCGTGGTCCAGTTTTGAGACGTCTCAAAAGTCCCTCCTCTTCCTCAAACTTCTTCCCCCATCCCCGCTTGGTCCAGTCTGCGTCTGAGCGCATCAACACAATTTATAGATTCAGGTGGTCTTTGAGGCGCTTCAAAATCTACCTCAAACATCTACCTCAAGCACATTTCCTTGATTGATTTTTTTTTTGGACTGGTTAAGAAAGAAGGCGTTCGAAAGTAGGTATTTGGTTGAGGTGAAGGAAAAAAGGGAAAGGATGAAATATCACATGGCAACATACCTAATCATATAAAGTTAAGGTCAAATTTTTTTGGCAGCCGTTTCCTAACAGCCGTTTTCTGACAGCACTACCACCCCCTCCTGCTCACATGCCACCTAATATTCACTTTGCAACCCCCCTCTCCCCTCACCGCTCCCCCACCCCTCGCCCCCTCCCATCCCCCCCTCCTCCTCCTCCCCTTGTGCTCAGTCTGCTTCTGGATCGTATTGAGCGGTATCGGCAGCGGCAAGCCAGGGAGCGCGGCGAGGAGGGAGAGAGGGGGGCTGGGGAGGGTGCTGTGATGAATGGTGTGGGAGGGAGAGGAGACAGGGGAGGGGGGGAAATAGAGGGAGGAAAGAGAAGTGTGGAGAGAGGGGAACAGGATGGGGAAGGGGAGGCTGGGATGGTCGATGGGGATGACAAGGGAAGGGAGGAGGATGGAAAGGAAGGTGATGAAGATGAAGAGGAGGAGGAGGAGGATGAGGATGAGAGTGAGGACCAGGACCAAGAGGACGACGATGATATTGAAGCTGAAATTTTCGATTGGCGAGCCAAGCGCTTATGACTACAGTTGAAATGATAGGTCAGAAATGGCTGCCACGTTGTACTCACTAGATACATGTCTTCTAGAGAGGCTTGCAGAATTTTAAACAACCTCTGCTGGGTCTGCCACATTCTCAACAAACACTCAAGGTTTGTTAGTGCCATCTATATTGAGTTGAGAGCACAGCAGCTGGCCAGTATTGGCATGAAACTTGTTCTTAGATGCTCACACAAGATGATGTAACATGTGCATGTCACACACTCAACAAGCTTTTGCTAAAGCGTGCAGCAATGTGTTTCGTTGAGATCGTTATATGGATTACGGAAATGGAAATCAGAGGTGTAATACCGCATGCAAACCTACTGCGTAATTCAGTTGGATTCGCCTTGCTGGCAGAACTGGCTGACGTGTGAGTATTTTCCCTCCTGTGTATTCGCAGACACCCTGCTCGGTGCAGGTGGGTCTGTACTTTCGGAATCGCATACAGTACAGTACATCAGAATGCGGGGAAACGATCAGCGATGCTGGTCAGGTGGGCAGGGCACGAGTGACGGAAGAATGCTGATGAGCTCCAGGTGGCGACGCAGGCAGCTTCCCGAGTTCCTCCCCACCCACCAGGGTTAGATCAGAGGGTACTTGTCCCTCTTCAGCCCGTGTTTCAGGGGGGCCTTTTAGTCACCGTAAAGCGAATCCGTGTGTTGGTGGGTACTCGCTGCGCTGCTTGAGCTGACCACAAGCAGCCAAACCCACCCAGTTTGACTCTGCGCTAAACCAGCTAACGCCCACACGAAGTCGGCGAGTCCTTAGCTAAGCTTTCTTGCTACCGCTTGCTAGGAGCCCCCATCTCTATCCATCCTTCAAGTGCGCCTTGAGCGGATCCGCGGAATAAACTAGTGTTTGCGAGAATTCACACTGTAAGTTTCAACACGAACGGAAATAAATAGCCCGCGATTTCGTGTGCAAGCTACTCGACACTCTGCTTTGGCAGGGTGAGCCTGGATCACGACTGTTTTCTGGGCCTTCTGAGTAGTCAGCAGGAGTGGGAACGTCAGTTTCAATTACAGACGATAGATGTCAGCAGAAGGGGGCAGCACGATAGACGGCGAGATGTGCGCTCCAGATCCAGTAAGGATTGTGCGAAGAGAATGATTCGTTGTTCGTGCAGCCGACGAGGACGGAGAACATATAGTTACCCTACGGTTTTACAAACGTAGGTGCGGTTATGAGGGGCGAAAATCTTGATCCACGACAGTGTGCGTTGGCACTCTCTATGTAACGGATCTACTAAGAAAAAGGGCATTTACCCATATAAAGATAAGTTCTAACACAAACAGAGAGTAACAGCTCCTGGAAATCACTAAGTCTGGAGAGTGCTAGGAGATGCAGTAACAAACTGTGGAAGGTGAGTTGAGGAGAAGACAATCCTATTTCCCAATTGATTTGTTGGGAGTAGGAAATGACGAATGAGCCAAGAGGCCTCAGACCCCTTCCCTAGACCCCCTTGGGGTGCAGCCACCTTCCCCATGGCAAGGAGGGGTGCACTCCCTTGGGTCTTGCCCATGTGGCAACAAACAAGATTTTCAACCAATTACATTTTAGATAGCAAGGATAAGAATTGCATAGCAATCACAAACCTGTATTTGTTTCTCATTGGTTGTGTTTGAAGTGAGCGGCGGAAACATTGTCGACTCACTCTTGGGGCTGTGATCTGATTGGTTGAATTAGTGATGAGGTGAACTTACGTGGGTTATGTTTGAACAAGCTCAAACCAATTGCGTAAGTTTGACTCAGCAACAATTTCGATTGGTTGGTTTCCCAATCAATCCTGAATTGCCCGTAAGTCTCGCTTTCCCAACCAACCAGATTTCCCCACATTTCTCCCTCAGCTGGTTCGACGTATCGAGACCAGCTGGGGTTGGGTACGGATGTTACACTCCTCCCCCTCCAGCTGGCAACGTCCTCGTTGCCGTGGGGTGCTTCTTAGGACGAGTGCTACGAGCACGAC